CCCCCCCCCTCCCCCCCCCCCCCCCCTCCCCCCCCCCCCTCCCTTTTTTTTTTTTTTAAGAAATGCACGTGATTTTGGCAGCCTTTCACTTGTAACCATCTGCCTCTTAGCGTAGGTTTCTAATTTTTACTGACTGAAATATTGAAGATATTTTAATTAAATTAAAATTTCTTTCGGATCTAGACCCTCTAGGGCTTTTTTTTTTCTTTTGGTTCCTTCTGCTCTGTGTTTCTTTGCTTGTGTATGTTGATCTCTGTCTGCATACTTGACAAGTATTTAAACGTTACATATCATGTTTCCTACTATTCCATTAAACTGATATAATGTCTTCCACACTTATGCTATTCTATGTTGCCCCATGATATTGATATTACATTTGTCTCTAGGTGATGCATGTGCAGCTGTGTGATATATTAGTTTAATATTAACCTACAGGATATCATTTAAAAAAAAAAAACTTCCACTATACAGTATGTTATAAGGCAGTGGTTTTCAGCCCTTTTGCCTGGACAGCTGAATGGGCAGTGTCTGGTCCACCTGTGGGCCAGATCAGGCTGGTAGTCTTTCATTCATCTTCATGGAGGGGGGAGCAGGGGGCACCTTGGCCTCAACTCAGGACTGCAAGGGAAGGGGCCTTGACCCAGCCATGGTGGGAGAGAGGTCTTGATGAGGCCCTTACCCAGCCTTTGGGGCTGGAGAGGGATTTGATGCATCCCTTCAGGGGGGATTATGGTCTGGCCATCAGCAGACCTACCACAGGGCTTGGGGTTTGGAAATTTAGCAGGGAAGAATGGGTGTATTAATTGCCACTGCTCCCCCACCACCAAATTTCCTGACCCATGGGGAGCCCTGTGGCCCAGATGCAATGGATCTGTGGTTTGCGTTTAGTCCATGGTCCAGAGATTCAGCATCCATGTTATAAGGTATTTAAAATAACATACTTACCTTTTAGGGTCAACTAACTCATCTAGAAACTGTTGTATTATTATTGAATTATTGTTGTACAGCACTGGGTTATTTGACTGATCAGGAGCTGATGAGTCCGTATCCTTTTTAACCTGAAGACCAACTATAATTTAAAGAAAAAAATACTGTTGTACCAAAAGTGCAAAATTCTTACACTGATGATTTTATGTTTTGCTAACCAAAATCCTTTGAATAATAACATTGGTGTTTTTCTACTACCCAGCAATTCAAACAAAGTAGGTTTTCAGTACATCTGGATTGTTAATATTAAACTTCTTTCTTCTTTTTCTTCTCATCTTTTTGTAATAAAAATTTAGATTCTTATTCTTTAGTTGCAAAGGAATCAATATTGATCTTTGCTTGGACTGCTGTGCTGAATGGTCCAGGGCCAGGCTTTATAACTAAAACCAGGCTTTTTTGAAACTTGAGTTTCAGTAAAGATATTTTTAATGGAATTCATTCTTTTCATAAGACCGTTCAGGTATTTGTTCCAGTTATGTGGTACAGCCATTTGTAATACTTTTTCTATGGTACTTTCTGTTTTTAGTACCTGTAAGAAACAGTTGTATAACATCTAAAATGGACAATATTTTTAAGAGTTGTTTTTTGTTGTTTCTTTCTTTTCTATTTTTCCTTAGACCCTGTACAGTGGTCAACAGACCAAGTACTTCACTGGGTGGTATGGGTGATGAAGGAATTTACCATGACAGATATAGACATCAATAGTCTTAGCATTCCGGGGCGAGAGTTATGCAGCCTCAATCAAGAGGACTTCTTTCAGAGAGTTCCTCGGGGTGAAATCCTTTGGAGCCACTTAGAACTTCTCAGAAAATGTATGTGAGCCCTCTCATGTTTTAGTTGCTGTTTTGTCATTAAAAATAACTTGGACTATTCATTATTGGTTTTGTTTTCCTACTTCTCATTTTTACTGTGAATGAATGCTGAATACTAGATAACCAAATATGCTAGCCAGAATATTCACTGTTATGAAAGTTAAGTGTACATATTAATCTGGTACTCCTTTCCTCAGATTTATTCTTAATCTACGGTATTTACTCAAATGCAAGACAAGGTCTTTTTCCCCCAGTTAACATGGGAGAAAAAGCCCCTTCTTTTATATTTGCCTGCAAGGAAACCATATTATAAATATTTTGCCTATCTTTGAACTGCTGCTAAAAGCATCATGTGTTACATAATGGAAACCAACTATAAAGTTGATTAAGTGCAGCCAATCCTAAGAATGACTGTGAAGTGCATGACATGTATGGGGGAAATATGCTGTTGAGAGCTTACCACAAATATAGAGTGTTTGGGGGGGTGGGGGGAGGGGTTTAATGAAAATTTTTTGTGTCCCAGGTCAAATTAGCCAGATCAGGTCCAAGTCAGTTTGAATCATTCAAGAACCATATGTGGCCCTGCTTGGACCAGCCCCAGACTGGGGCTTCAGGTACTTCCAAATCCTTTGGAAAGCATCCTATGTGTAGGCCCAAGCCCACATGCTTGACGTTCTGATGCCCTCGAGTTTTGCTTGCCCTCAGCTGTATGGCCAGAGGAGCAAGCTAGGAAGGAGTCTTCCATTTCCATAAAAGCGGCATGTAGCTGCGATCCTCCCACTGGAAGTTAGCCAGTGAGAAGCTAACTATGAGGCGCTCCTAAGATTTGTGCTGTCCATCTGAGTAAGACCTATGGTAGTACCTGTTGAGCATGGTCCCTTTCACCGATGACTCTCTTTTTTTTAAAGCCATGGTGAGCCACTACACTGCACATATTTCAACTTCCTTTTGACTCCCACAGCTGAGCTGCACCTTTCTTTCTCATTTCCAATAATTCCCGTTTCTTCAGCCTTAAAAACATTTGGCAAACATCACCAAACGGGGCTCAAACAGCTTACCCAGAATCCCTCTGTCAACCTGTCATGATTAGTGTGGCCTCACCCTCCATAACGAAAATAGACCAGGTTGCCCTGTATCTCATCTGCATATACCTTTCTGGAAGATGCTAGGACACATAATAAGAATATGCAGTTCCAGTCATGAGTTGGGGCTTATTAGCACAAGGAACCTTTGTTGGGGTTATCTGGAGTACACACATACTGAACAGTGCTGAGGTATGAAGTCACCATGGCTTGAAATGGTGTTGAGTCTGGTGGGACACTTCCATGTGCTGAGAGCATGTAGGGTCTTGACAGTAAGGAGAGATAGAAGGGCCGGCCAATGGAAAAAGCTGATAATACTAACCTGTCTTTGCGGTAGGTTACCTGGCAGGGGAAACGCCATGTATCTGAGTCCAAGAAAGCAGTTTTCCTTAAGCCTCCTGGGGATAACTGTTCTTCTGGCATGGTTTAGTACCTTCTGAGGTGTTGGGGCTTAATGCCTATTTAATGGAAGTGGGAGACTCCTCCCTAGCTTGCTTCTGCAGCCATATGGCTGAGGGCAAGCAAAACTTAGGGTCTGGACATAGGATGCCTGCCAAAAGACATTGGAAATATCTGAAGCCCCTGGTGGGGTGGAGGATGTTTGCTGGGTGTAGGGCCACTTACGGTTCTGGACTGACTCATGGATTTGGACTTGATTTGGCTTGGAACACAAACATTACTTTAAAAAAATGGAAAAAGCTGATGGGAAGTGGAGAGCAAAGGGACTACTTGACCCCCTACATTTATTTTTCCTTCTGTAGCAGTGGGAGGTTGACAAACTCAAGACAAACCTCCAATAATTAGGTTCTATACCTGGAAAATTATGGAAAATGTGTACATAATTCCAAATGTATGTATTTTCTGTATATAGAATCTAATTACCTGCAGGTTGTCTTATAATCTTGGTCATCTTGTATTCAAGTAAATATGGTAATATAGGAAGTAAATTGTGAAGCTTATAAGTTCTGCTTTGGTTTTAATAGAACTTAGGTTCGTTTTTTATTTTTGACAGTTTTTAATTAATTATTGATTAAGTGCAGTTTATGGTGCACATTGCAATCATGTATAAATGCAAAAGGGAATAAGCCAATGCACTCATCTTTCAGGTTTGTCTATGTGTATAATAATTGAGGTACAGTTAAGTTTAAAGGCAGTTGTTGATTTCTGTCTCAGTGGATTTTGAAACATTTAAAAAATCCTATAAGTATAAAAGTAGATTTAAGAAAGGGGAAAAAAACAATAGTAAGGCTCTCATGCATAAACTAATAGTGAGAATTAAATGTTGTCCCA